GCATATATATGGTTTGGGTAAGTTTAGTAGTTTAGTGTCACATGTTTTCATTTTCGTTAATTTCATGCTTCTCTTGAAAAACTTGTAATCAAGCGTCTCTTTGTAATCCCTTCAAATCTTGTGGGACGGTCCTTCCTTTTGTTATATTTTAGGAGGGGGAATTGGTGGAGTAGATATGTTTCCTCGACTTAGGAGCTTATTTTGATGCTCTGTTGTGGAATTCTTAAGATGGAGATGTAGGAGGGCTTTTACTTTGATGCTCTGTTGTGGGATCCTTAAAATAGCAATGTAGGACGGGGGTATGTACAGTGTTCAGTGCAGTTGATCTCCCGCGTTCTTGTAAGGAAAAGGGTGTGACCGGCTGCAAGCAACTTTTACTGATGCTGGTCTAGGGAAGGCAGACGGATGCAGTACAACGGTCATTCCGGAAGATTGCTTTGTGACCTGAAGCGACAATTAATAGGTTGTTTGAGGACAGTACTTTTGTGAAGGCTCGTTACTGAATAATATTCGAGGAGGTCGGATGGAAGTCCTTGTTTTGGTTATGTGTTGGATTCTTCAGTAATTTCAACAGGGGGCCGTTCAGATATCATACAGGTTCTCGTCTTTTAGACATGCAGTAGTTTGTTCATTCTGTGCTGGTTGGGTTTGAAACTTGAAATAGTATGTTCCATTGGGCTGGTGCTGTCTGTATAGACGCCCTTTATCACCATATTGTTTCAGTTGACTGTTAAATTGTGATATCTTATTAGACTGGGCGGCCTAATTTCGGGAGATTATATCCTACAACCGGGTTATATATCTCCGTCTTTACTTTCTTCGTTCGATACATCCACGAATCTCCCCTAATTTGGAGCTGCTAGTTTACTGTTTGTTGGATGTTGCGTTTGTGTCTATACCATTTATCTGAAGAAAGAGGAAAAAGGGCCTTCTTACAAGAAAATACCATGAGCCTTGTGATTTTAATAATTCATCAGTTGTCATGATCCTTGTGAATATAATCACTGCCTTTGCTGTTTGACCAAAACCAAAAATCGGTGACTTTGCTGTGTTTTCTTGGTCAACATGCAAAGTTTTTGTTGAAGCCTGAAACTTTCATGGTGAGTTTGGTAATTATATAAATTTTAGTTTTCGTTTTTCATTTTACAAATAGCAATCTTCTTCTGTTCAGGTTTACTCTATATTGCATTTCAAAGATCTAACCGTCTATATTTTAAGTCTTTCTTCAAAGATCATCTTTACTAAAAATCATTTAAATCCGGAACCATTTGATTGATATGTTAAGTGGTAGCCATATTAGTGCTTCTTCTGAAAAATCGTATTCATTTATTTTCTTCATTAGAATTAGATGTTTTAGTGGTTTTGAATTTTTCTAATTTTTTGCAATAATGATTTATTAATGATGTACTAAAATATAGACGGTTTGGATCGTTGAGAAAAGTAACGGAATAAGCATCACAGGTGTCTTTCAAATAAAAATAAAATATACAAGGGATCCCTCAACAGAACAAATGTGAAAGAATTTATATATGGAATGGTACACAAACCAAAAACCAAAAACCGATAATTGTTTCTGATTTTAACTTTAAAATTTTTGTTGTCATATAATTTCCTTCATTCAACCACCATTTCTTCATAACACATAAAAAAAAAAAAAATTAAAAATAAAAGGGAGAACTAAAAACGAAATTACGAAGAACTTGGCTCATGCCGTTTGGCTATGATTGATTCTCTTTAAGTAGTTCAACGTCGGTGGAGACCGACATGCATGTTGGCTTGATATCAATTTCGCATGAATAAAAACAAGGAGGCTGTGAAGACGAACGTTTGCTGTCGAGTTGCTGCTAGGGTTTCACGTGAAGATGCTTTCACCTTCAGTCTTGGGGGTTTTGGAGGAACTTGAGAGTGTCGAGTGTGATGTCGTAATCACACTGCACATAAATTACCACCGCTGAAAACAAGAAGGTTTAGATGTCGTTATCAGAAGATGGCACAATTGGCTGAAAACAGTCACCAATTCACTCGAAAGGTAGTTCTAAATCGATGCACTCATTTTTCAAGTTTTTCACACTTGGTGTGTTCGTGTCGACCAAATGCTCGAGGGCAAAAAGACCTTTTAATATTTGTAACAAGACTTTGGAGCAAACAATTACTTGCACTCTTCGAAGTAAGAATTTTGAAGGTCCCTATCTTTTAAAACGTGTAAAAACAACTATAAGGTTTGAAATCGTTGCTCCATTGGCCTCTCTTGTTTAACTATCAAGTGAACTATTACTTGCATATGGTCTAATTTCTTAGTGGATAAGGTTTTGAGTTTTTACACATACATTCCGAGTTCGAAATTTCCACATCTCCTAAATTATTGTAATAGTTTCAAACGCTCTTCCTTTTCTTAATAATATATATATATATATATATATATATATATATATATATATATTGCTTAAGGGGAGGGATCCCCATTTTTTCAAAAAAAATGGGGACACACTCCCCACCGTTATATTGATTTTAATGAAATTGTGTGGTTGAGATTAAAACGCAGGCCATACAATCTCAACCACACAATTTCATTAAAGTTAAATCTAACGGTGGGGAGCGTGTCCCCATTTTTTTAGAAAGATGGGGATCTCTCCCCTTAGGCAATCTGTATATACATATATATATATATATATATATTTTTTTTATTTTATTTATTTTATTTTTTAATGTGAAATGTTACCTTTTTAATGTAACACTCGATAATTACCCACCGTTGCCCATATGAAGGCCAAATTGACGTTGAATGGATCATTTTCATCTCTTCCTACATCAAAAAGGTTTGGAATTTCATTGAAGAAATTGTCATTTGTTGTCTTTCGTATAGACTCGAGCATGCATCCTACATTAGAAAAAATAGGTTCATCGAGGTCTAGGTCAAAAAAGAACAATGACTTGATGGTAGGCTGAAAGAGAGCTCAATAGTACAACAATTTTTAACCTTATAATTATTTCGTGAAGTTTTAAAAAGATACGGATCAAACCGTCACAAACTTCAAATCACAAGGTAATTTATAGATTTATCTTGTGTTTCCTAAAATGAAATGGATGATCTGCCACCTTTCCCAATAAATGAACCTAAATATGTAAGCAATTCACAACTCAACGTCCTATTTCTTCTAGGAAACTTTCAAGTGAACTTAAGCATAACAAGTTCTCCATATTTGCTTTTCTAAAAGGCCCCATATATATTATGCTAAAAGCAAACCAATTGTTGAATAACTTGTACATTCTGCAAAGCATACAATCCCAATCCACCTTTCTTTTTTTCCTTTTTCCTTCTTTTGGAAATTTGAAGCACTCAAATTCGTACTAAACACAACACTAAGAATCTGCTACTACAATTGAAAAATAAAATAGGAAAAGGGAAAAAGAAAAGAGAAAATTGGAGTAGTGGATTTTAAATTTTGGTTCTTGAATAAATAAAAAAAAAAAATCCGTCTGAACTCATCACAATGTGAAGCAATAGTGCTTTTCACTAACATTGTTAGAACTTATGCAAAAAATAAAAAGTTATAATAAGCAAATAAGATATATAATAACGAGTTACTAAAAAAAACTATTACTACAATGTCCACATTGTGACATCTGACAAACTCATGTACCAATACCACGAATTTTTATTTTCAGGGACCAAAGCTCAATTTTAATTTTCTCAAACAAAAAAGGGGAGAGACACAGTGCATTTATAAGCATCATGTGCAAGTCCACAAGAAATGCAAGAAAACAATAAATTTGAATACGTGACATGCTAAATATATGTAAAAATATGTTAAATAATAGAATGGGCCATGCTTCCAAGAAACAAGAAATTAATTCGAGCAAGAAAAGTCCATGCTATCTTCAACATGTTGGGGATCTCAATTCCATTTTTAATACCTCAAAACCAATCAAATTCTGCATTTCTTTGGCTCTGTAAATTTTCCCCGCAAACAATGTTGATCCGGCCACCTTTTAAGCAGATAAAGGGGCATCAAGTTGTCTCGGTGGTCAATTAAAGTAAAGCCGACACTCAGGCGTAAAAAAAGATTGAGCAATTAAGCTAACAAAGTATGCAAATCTATTAATTAATTAGACTGCACCATCCAAGCTTATTCAACTTTAGATTAAAGATTGTTAATTTATGAAAATCAGTAATTGAATTCTCTCACGTGTTAAGACCAATCTAAAAAATGAGAAGGGGATATAATATAGTGTTACGAAGATCAATTATTTAGACTAATTTTGTAAATCATATGATGTGGTTGCTGATGATTGGATTAAATGTTGATTAACGTTCTTATTTCCTATTGGTGACACATCACTTGATTTGTAAATTTAGTTTAAAAAATTGGTCTAGGTACTCTTTATGTGTTCTGACACGTACAAAAGTGACTCATTTAAATTACAAAAGGAGAAGGCTAATAGCCACTCATGTTACAGACTTACAATAAACAATTGGCTTCAGAGATACTAAACATACAATAATATGTATATAAATCACACGTTAGTACTCATGTATTGTCTATATAATGACCATCTAGTTCATTTTTTTTTATTAAAAATTCGTAATCAGTTCAATTTGTTTGTGTTCTCAAACGAAAATTATTGTACGGTACTAGAACACAACAAAATGATCTGAATTATAATTGAAACACATATTACAATACGAATAGACAATAAATTAGTACTTTACGATGCAATAATAATAACTAATTTGCATGTTATAATACATCTGGATTGGCTATGCCATGTGAGTCACTATCTTCTAGTAGAAGAGAGTAATTTTCTCAATCTAGAGTAATTTAGAGAAATTTTTTATTGTGACGGTAACACAAGTGATACACCTCGTGTTTTAATAGAAGTGTTAGAAAATTTTATTTTTTAAGTTATTAACTTTTTAGCACATATATCCCATCATTTATATAATATCATATAATGTACCACCTCTTATTGATGAAAAATCCCTCCTTTAGCACCCAATAAACAAAGACTTTGGTATTAATGCTTCTTCCTACTTACACTGCTCCAAGCGTACAAAACAGATTTAGGCAAGCTACCACTTCCCCACTACTTTCACTACTCTCTCTTCAAAAATGGGTTCCTCAGAATTCTCTCTCTTCCAACAATCACCAAAACGATCCGCTTTCCACAAAGCCCCTTCCCTAATAGCAGATGGCTTTCTCTTCGTCGGCGGTGCATCATTGGCTCTCTCTGTGGTCTGGGCTTTCCTCACCTTCATCAACCCCACCACCATAAGCTTCGACAGCATCCTCGCCTGGAACGCGGGTCCATGCGGACCCGACTTGAGCTCCGACCCGCCGGAGCCCACATTCTACGACGACGAAAATCTCAGCTACGCGTTTGGGGAGCCAGTGAAGGATTGGGACTCGAAGCGCAGAGAGTGGCTGAAGCTGCACCCTTCATTCGCCGCCGGAGCCGAGGCGGATAACAGGGTTCTTCTGGTAACTGGGTCCCAGCCCACCGTGTGCAAAAACCCAGTTGGTGACCACTTACAGCTGAGGTTCTTCAAGAACAAAGTTGATTACTGTAGGATTCATGGGCATGACATATTTTACAACAGTGTTTTGTTGGATCCCAAGGGTACTGGATTTTGGGCCAAATACCCGCTATTGAGAGCGGCTATGTTGGCTCATCCCGAGTCCGAGTGGATCTGGTGGGTCGACTCAGACGCGGTTCTCACCGACATGGAGTTCAAGCTTCCGTTGGAGAGGTACAAAGACCATAACTTGGTCGTGCATGGGTGGTGGAACATGGTGTATGAGCAGAAGAGCTGGACGAGCCTCAACGCTGGGGTTTTGTTGATAAGAAACTGTCAGTGGTCATTAAGCTTGCTGGATAAGTGGGCCAGCATGGGTCCACAGGGTCCGAATCCTGAAAAATGGGGGAAGATCCAAAAGTCCCTGATCAAGGACAAGGCGTATCCGGGCTCTGACGATCAGTCGGCTCTGGTTTATCTCCTGATCAAGGAGAAGTCGAGATGGGCGGCTAAGATTTACTTAGAGAGCGAGTACTACTTGCATGGATACTGGCTGGGGATAGTGGACGGGCTTGATGGGATAAGCAAGGGGTACATGGAGATTGACAGGGAGGTGGATTTGCTGAGGAGGAGGCATGCTGAGAAGGTCAGCTTGTTTTATGGTCAAATGAGAGAGAAGTACATGAGAGAGAGAGGGATTTGGAGAGAGAATAAGAGGAGGCCATTTGTGACACATTTCACAGGGTGTGAGCCGTGCAGTGGAGAGCACAATGGAATGTACACTTGGGAGGCTTGTTGGAATGGGATGCAAAAAGCTTTGAATTTTGCAGATAATCAAGTGCTTAGGAGATTTGGGTTTGTTCATCCAGACCTACTCAATTCATCTTTGGTTTCTCCCTTGCCATTTGATTTCCCAGATGCTTGAGTTTATTGGTTTTCATTTGTTTACTTAGTTTGTAATTTTGCGGTTTGTGCTTTTGGTTTTTAATAGAATGAGTAAATATGTAAGAAGAGAGCCTCTTTGTGGAGGACTTACCTACACCGGCGGTATGCCAGACATCGCGCTTTTGGTCTAAGGCATGGCCCGGGATGTAGGAAAGTCTCTTTCCTCTTTGTGTGTCTGATTGCATGCTCTCCTGAATTATGTTGAAAAGTTGGATTTTGAGCACAGTTTTAGAATAAACAGAAAACTCTTGAAATTCATTATATAATATTTCTCTTCTTTCTTCTTCTCTCCTTAAGATGGATATGCGAGTAAAGAATTTTAAAGTGTAAATTATGGTGAGAACTAGTGCTGCAAAACCATTTCCAAGACTGCACCAAATTAATAGTCTAATTTGCACCTAAATGCTTAAAAGTATAATTTGCACCCAAATTAATCAATAGTCTAATTTGCCCCAGCTGGTCCCCTTTAAAATAAATAAATAAATAAAATAAACATCACATGAACCATATTTTCATCTTATATTGAGATAAATTCTTGGGTGCGGCCGTCTGCCCGTACGCACAAAACACCCTATCTTTCTTTTATTTTGGTCCACCCCTTGTGCCTAGTAACCTATTACGAGCATCTGAACTGAAGAATTTTTCGGATATTTAGAGCTAGAAAAAGAAAAAAGTTGGGAATAGAGGTAGACTTAAACCCATCTTCCAAATTTAACTAGACCCTTTTCTTCTTTTGGCATACTTCACATGTTACCCATGAAACACGATATTTTGAAGGGCCTTAATTAGTGGAGCTCGACACACTCGCATCGCTTGTATGCATGCTAAGAGTCAAAAGACTACAAATTTGATGGACCCTACAAATTTCGTTGTCAATGTCATGCCAGGTCTCCAAACTGGAAGAGCCGCCCACCACCAATTCCGTCGCTAAAGCAGCCATAATTGGCGACGAAAATGATACTAAGCTCCAACCTCATGTCAAACCCGTGACACATTACCCATTGAACTGCATGCCATGCATAGCCGCTAGGGTTCAACCAGTGAAAGCAACTCATCTATTGCTACCTTTACAAAGGCCCCCAAAGGCATCAAAACCGCACAATGTTTTCCTTTAGGACCTAAGGCAGTTCACACTGAGTGAGACGATACGTGTCTTGGAGTAAGACGATTTAGGGTTTGGAGTTGAATAGAATAATCCGGTTGAATCACATTGTATATTCATAGTAGTTTTTATGTTTTCTATCCTTTCTACGGAGTCGTTACTAATCATAGCTATTAACTTGACATAAAAATAGAGTTCAACTCAATGTTTTATTTCTGTCCTTTGCATCCGCTCTCAAACCTAAAGACAAACAGTTGTTTGGGTTAATATTTAACACTGGGCTTTATGACGATGGAGGCCCAAGAATACAAAAGCAAAGAGAGGACTGGGCTCGGACAAACCAACGGCCCATAAAGAATTAAAAATCATTTCTGCCAAGGCATAGGCAACATGCCTATGTGAGAGGTGATGTGTGACAGAGGGCAGCTCGCCCCAGCAAAAAACACTTTTCAAGGGCATGAATGGTAAATTAATGGTGACTCACTTTCCTCCAAAGGCCATCAGCAAAAGGCAAAGCTTGGACAGTTGGGCGAAAACGTCTATAAAAGCAGCAAGGGACACTAGAGATAAGGACACTCAACCAATCAATCAAAGGACATCCAAACTTTGCTCTCAAACAAGCAAGAAACCAGAAAGCTGCATTTTGTCCAGACTCTGCCCTTTTAGTCGTAGATCCCCCATAGAAAGCCATTTTTTGTCAATTTTAGAAGCTCTGCTACCTTTCCCTAGTATTGTAGTATTGAATCCCTTTAGGAAACCCTATTTACATTTCATTTTTCAGAGTTTAGAAACCCCTATAAACGCAAAGAGAAATGGTTGCAAGAAGTTGAACCTTACCCAACAAGGTTATAATCTTGCCCGAGTCTCTTTTGTTTGTGTTTATGTAGAGTAGATATATTGTTCAATGCATATTCCTTCGTGTTTTTAATCATTTTCAACTGATCTTCATCCAAAGTTATGGTTAATTTGGCTAAGCTAATCAATCTTGTTTCTTTAGTGTTAATTGTAATCAAAGGCATGGTTGAAAAGGGCACGAGCTCCCTTTATTTGAACATATGATATCTTGAGTTAAAAGTCCTTGTTTACAAGGCAAGAAAAAGAACTTTATACAGATTTAACACATATGTGACAATCCATTGATAATCAAAAAGTCTAAATAACTTGTGGCGCAAGTAATCAACTCAATTCACAACTAAACAACAATCTTTCATACAATTATAACAGTAGCACGCTCAGATCCTTGTTAGTTTTGATTGTGAGCCTCAAGGCCTAACAAAAGCCCCACAAAGGCACCATTCAAACTTACAGTAAACTCATATTGCAGTACACCAAGCAGCAAACCATACCTGACAGGCAAGAGCCTTGGGAAGCTGTGTGAGGGACAAATCTAGCCCGAACAACAGTCTTACACTCTATGGGGTCTTTCATTGACTACTATTCCTTAACTACATTTTTCACCCCATTTATGTATTAACCCAACTCTGGCACGCCAGTTATATGCAGTTCAACAATATTGCGATGAAACTTCAATTCATTGTTAAATACTAACCAAATTCAACCCTTCTTTTTAATGTATCATCACCTTTAACTGAACAAATTAGAGCACAAAATGTGGTAATAAAAGCACAAATCCTACCATGGGAGGGTCTTTCCAACGCAACGAACACAAACTGTACAAGATCATGTGCAGATTGAATATACATAACTCACATACGGCTCACCAAATGCCGACCATACTGGTTGAGCCGGAGAGGATTAACATGTACTTAAACATCCCGTGTGCCGTACTAACTACTAAGACACGACGTGACCTAACGTCCCAACAATCTCCGGTGTGTCGTACTAACTACTAAGACACGACCAGACCTAACCTCCCAACAACCAAGGGACTACAAGCGCAAACACGAAATGTTGCTTGGTTCGCGTACTAGGGGCTTGGGAATGGGCATGGAACTCAATTCCCATGTGTGGCAAATGCTTTCAAGGGGTAGCTATCCCAATGGGTTTCAAATTCCCATGAAGGGGGGATTATGAAACCCTTGGCTTCCTTCGGTTAATCTTGTTCGTTGGGTTAAAACTGATCAAAACCGGACCGTGCCCGCCCTTACCCTTCTTACCTTAAGGACCTAGCCCTTCCCTAAGGATTAGGTGTGTACCTGATAACTTGGGGGATTTGTATATTTGTAGGTTACTATTCTTATTAGTTGGGTGGCGGATGTACCATAAGTCAGTCCGGTACCTGATATTGTTTTTGTACGCATACCCTGCACTTGGAAACTTGGAAGTAACTTCAATTTTTTTGTCGTACCTGTTGGATAGGTTAAACTGGTGTCCATCTAAATTGAAATTTCTTGTGTAACTTGTAAAAGATTCCTAATGCTTGTACATAGTAATTTGTATTTACCTCTACTTTGGGTAAATCAAGTAAGATTTCCATTTCGAAATTCGATTCCTTCAGGTTCAAGAAATGATGCTACTTCAGTAGCTTTCGGGTATTGATAGTCTCTGCTATATAAGTGCTTATAATTTTAAGCTTTACACAGATAAGCAAACCTACCACTAAGGCACATAGATGCCCTTGTAGCTTTCTTGGAAATGGGTTCATCAAAGTACGCTCCACCTAGACGTTCAGTTCTCCACAATGCCTCTTGTTTAATCGCTTGCGGGTTCCTATTTGCCGCAGGAGCAGCTTTGGCTGTATCCTTGGGTTTGGCTCTCCTGCCCATCATAAACCCCGACACAAACTTTGACAACTTCATCACCTGGAACAAAGTTACCCAAGGCCTTGACCCAGGATATGATCCAGCTGAACCTACATTCTATGATGATCCAAACGTCAGCTACTCGATTGGGCAACCTATGGAAGACTGGGACGAGAAGCGCAAGAAGTGGCTGCTGCATCACCCTTCTTTTGCCGCTGGTGTTGGTGATCGGGTTCTTCTTGTGACAGGGTCTCAGGCAACAGCATGCAGTAGCCCAGTTGGTGACCATTTTCTGCTACGGTTTTTTAAGAACAAAGTAGACTATTGCAGACTCCACGGCTATGACATCTTCTACAACAATCTGGCGTTACATCCAAAAGTGACTGGCGCCTGGGCCAAGTTACCTACTCTTCGTGCTGCCATGTTGGCTCATCCTGAGGCGGAGTGGATGTGGTGGGTTGACTCAGATGCGATTGTCACAGACATGGACTTCAAGATCCCACTAGAGAGATACAAAGACCATAACCTAGTTGTGTATGGCTTGTGGCATGAGATATACGACAAGCACAGCTGGACAAGTATCAATAGCGGAGTGTTCTTGATACGCAACTGCCAATGGTCCATGAACCTCATAGAGGCATGGGTCATCATGGGGCCACAGACCCCATACTATGAAAGATGGGCCCGAAAGCAATATTCATTGCTCAAAGACAAGCAAATTTCAAATTCAGACGATCAATCGGGTCTGATTTATCTTCTAATAACACAGAAAGAAAGATGGGCAAACAAGACTTATGTAGAAAATGATTACTACCTACACGGATACTGGTTGGCAACTGTGGATGATCTTGACAGCACCACCAAACGATACATGGAGATTGACAAGGAGGTGGACATGTTAAGGAGGAGACACGCGGAGAAAGTGAACCAGTTCTATGGAACTATGAGAGAGCAACATGTGAAGGATAAGGGCTACTGGAAAGATTATCTCAGAAGGCCTTTTACCACACACTTCACTGGGTGTCAACCATGCAACGGGCAATACAGCTCCGCTTACACTTGGGAAGCTTGTTGGAGTGGGATGCAGAGGGCTTTAAATTTTGCAAATAATCAAGTGCTTAGAAGATTTGGCTACATGCATCCGGACCTGCTCAACTCCTCATTCGTGTCTCCTGTGCCATTTGATTTCCCGATTGCTGAGTGATTGGTTGCCGGTTCTGCAATTTGTGCTCTTGCGGCCCTGCCATACTTACAAGTATTATGGCATCAAGCCAGGTTTAGTCCTACTTCTTCCTCTTTCCTATATTTTCTTCCTTCGTTCTTCTGTCATGATGGTCAAGACTTCCCTTCCTAAAGTTTTACCAGTATGGTCCATTAGGATCAAACGCCATCTGTTCTCCATTCCCCACCCTGATAATTCTATGTCTATGCTTGTTTCTCCACCATCAGCCCCTGATATTTAATGGTACTTAGGTTCGTGATATGTGCATCCTTTGAGACAATATATAAACTGCACATTGATATTAATAACATACCTTGTCTTTATTTTACAACCCAACTTCATTTATGGAATAGCTGTAACGATCTTATTTCTTCATGGTTGTTAACTTTGCACGCAAGCATCATCAAAGGCAGTTCTGCAAAGCGAGAGAAATCACATAGTTCAGGCTATTAGAACATCAAAGGAATGAAGAAAGCTAGCTACAATGAGAAAACAGCTCTAAAATTTTTGGAAAATATTCTGATATTTCAAGCGAAAACGAAACACAAGTGACAGCATATATACTATATAGAGCCTAATTTCTCAATGGTTTTAAAAGAAGAATCAGATGGTTATTTTTTTTTTCAAGTTACTAATTGAAGTGGATTACTCTAATGACTATCTTCAAATTGCTCAAAAGCCGGAAAGTTGCAAAAAAGAACTTTATCAAACTGGATCTAATGCTTTAAATGAAAGCAGAAAACAACCCCAGAGATTTGAACAGTAATGACAACTAAAATCAAAGCTCTTTCCCTATATCACCAACTGATGAGAAACTGAATGAATTAACCTACTTATTTTCTCAAAGACAAATATAAAGTTTGTCGTCGTAATAGCAGAGCAACTCTGTCTCAGCATTAATGTGAGGATTACCATTGACATCAAAGTAACTTGGCCTGGAATTACGAAGGCCCTCGTTATCACAGAGTTTCGATACGAAGACAGTGAATCCGGGATTAAAATTCAGAATATTTATGTGAGATAACTAAAGATATGGATAAATTGACAAGATTGTTAACCAATTTGAACAGTGATTTGTGTTTAAAATAGTTAGCTTGTTCTGGTTTATTAAAACTGAAGTAATTGAATCTGTATTTTATTGCGTTTCTCTATATTATCAATACAAGAGTGAGGTTCTCTGTTGCAATAGTCACTCACAGATTGTGGAAAATAAAATGACCAAGACAATTTGCGTTTTCAGAACCTCTATAATCCACATTTCAATAAATCACCGAGCAAAACGGTTCTAAAACAGTGTTACTGAGATTGTGAGCTTCAACCTGCCAAGAAATGATAGTCACATATCTGATTCCGGAGAGCTGCAACCTACTCGAGCTACGCTAATTTCAATTCAAGAGCAATGATGACACCTGCAGGAAAGAGAGGTGGAACATTAATATTGTTTCTCCATAACTGTCAGAGAATTATTTCTTGCACAAGAAAAAAATACGAACTTAGAAGAACCACCTCAAAACAATCATGGCTTAATGACAGATTTGTAAACTTAGATATAACTCCTATTTTTTTAGTTGTACCTGTTGAGTAGGTTATATTGGTGCCCACCTAAATTGTGATTTCTTCTCACAGTGCTTGTATTTAGCTTTACTTTGGGTAAATGTAGCAAGATTGCCATTCAAAATCCCATGTCTTCATGTACAAGAAACGATACTTCTTAAGTAGCTTCCATCAATGTTGAGGATCCAGACAAAGCCAAAGTACTAGCATGCATGCTCGCGCGCGCACACATTTATACATATAGCAAAGCTACAACTCAGGCACAGAGGTACCTTGTAGCTATCTTGGAAATGGGTTCACCAAAATACCATCCACCTAGACGTTCAGTTCTCCAAAAAGTCTCTTGTTTAATTGCTCACGGGTTCCTATTTGCCGGAGGAGCAGCTCTGGCACTGTCCTTGGCTTTGGCTCTCTTGTCTGTCATAAACCCCGACACAAACTTTGATGACATCACCTGTAACAAAAGTTCCCAAGACCTTGACTCGGGATATGACCCAGCTGAGCCTACATTCTATGATGATCGATACATTAGCCACTCGATTGGGGAACCTGTCTTAGACTCGGATGCCAAGCGCGAAGAGTGGCTTCAGCGCCACCCTTTTTTGCTGATAGTGCAGGTGATCGGGTTCTTCTTGCAACAGGGTCTCAGCCCTCAGCATGCAGTAACCCATTTAGTGATCATTTGCTGCTACGGTTTTTCAAGACAAAGTAGACTATTGCAGACTCCAATGTTGTGACATTTTTAACAACCATCTGGCGTTGCATCCAAAAGTGACTGGTTCTTGGGCGAAATGCCCGACTTTTCGGGCTGCTATGTTGGCTCATCCTGAGGCGGAGTGGATCTTATGGGTTGACTCGGACGCAATCTTCACAGATATGAACTTCAAGCTCCCTCTAGAGCGATATAAAGACCATAACCTAGTTGTGCATGGCTGGTCACATGAAGTATACGAGAAGCACAGCAGGACAAGTATCAATAGCGGGGTGTTCCTGATACGCAACTGCCAGTGGTCCACGGACCTCATAGAGGAATGGATCATCATGGGGCCACAGAGCCCAGATTACGAACGATGGGCACAAATACAAAGTTCAGTGACCAAAGACAAGCAAATTACAAATTCAGACGATCAATCGGGTCTGATTTATCTTCTAATAGCACACAAAGAAACCTGGGCGGACAAGACTTACCTAGAGAAGGAATTCTCCCTACACGGATACTGGTTGGCAGTAGTGAACGGTCTTGACAACATCACCAAAATACACATGAAGGTGGATAGAGAGGTGGCCGTGTTGAGGAGGAGACACGCGGAGAAGGTGAGCCAGTTCTATGGAGCTATGAAAGAGCACTATCTGAAGGATAAGGGCTACTGGAAAGATTATCTCAGAAGGCCTTTTGTCACGCACTTCAGTGGGTGTCAGCCATGCAGTGGGCAACACAGCCCCGCTTTCACTTGGGAAGCTTGTTGGAAAGGGATGCAGAGGGCTTTAAATTTCGCAGATAATCAAGTTCTTAGCAGATTTGGTTTTGTGCATCCCGACCTACTCAACTCCACATTTGTGTCTCCCCTGCAATTTAACTTCCCGGCTCGACCAATTATTTGTAAGTTGTGCAATTTGTACCCTTGCCATACTATCGAATTATTAGGGCATCAAGGCAGGTTTAGTCCTGTTTCTGTTCTCTTTCCTACAAAACAGTTGGAACATATTATTCGAAATAAACTGTTTAAGATAGCTTGCATTTTTCAAAACCTCTAAAATCTACATCTCTACAACTACCCTCCAAAAATAAAACAAAAAACCTAAAACGAAGTGGTACTAAGATTGTGAGCTTCAACCTGCCAAAAAATGATGGTAAGAAATCGGAATTCCTGAGAGCTCTAATTTGCCCCTACGTCTTCCTTAAATTCGTCTTTGACGAAAATCGAACCTGAAACCTAAATAAACCCTTCCCTTGTTCCTCTCCTGTCACCACCCCACCCAGTGCGGCGCCCCAAACTGCTCTAATCCAAATTATCCCTGATCCTCGAACCAACAAATCAGCCAATCATCATATGTGGTTCAAATTAGCCTTTGCCTCTTGCTTTGATTTTTTCTTGATTGTGGAGCAAACTTTGACTTCAAGAAGTAAAATGACAAATTTTAAGTTTCAATGAGCAAAATGAGATCAAAAGCCAAGATTTGCTTTCTCCCTTTTCAGTCACTACCAAAAAATTAAAGTCATTCACAATGCTCAAAAGAAGCATCATTCCACATATGGCAAGCTAACAAGTAAACGACATGGCAGGCTAACATAACATTCCCCACATCAAGAGAGAAATAAAGAGAAGATACAAACACACACTCCACCTAAGTCAAAGGTATCGTTATAACCTACAAAATATCCTCATCAAACTCATAATGCTCCTTTTCTTTCTTCTTGAAAGCAAAACTTAATTCAAATCAAGAAGCACGCTGACCCCCATCGTCTTCTCCATTCTCACTCGGGAATCATTTGCTCATTATCAGCGTCGCCTTCTGTCTCAACTTGAGGCTTTGAAGGACCTTTGGAACCAGGAGGCTGCTTCTTCTTAATACCACTCACAATGTCATCGATTCTGAGAAGTAGGCAAGCGGATTCTATGGCTGTTTTAAAGGTCTGAGCCTTGACATTGTATGCATCCCATATCTGACATGATAAGTATAAGCAATTAACAGCCTTTCCCATACAAAAGAGAATTTGACATTCAAGATTTGGTGGATATGCTCAAATCGTAGCTACATTTATTTTAGTAATAAGCAGGATTACAGCAGTTCCCCTCACATGGATGCTGTTGAAACATATACCAATCCCCCAACGAAGTAGAATATTGACAAAGTAAAGGGAACGCACAAATAGGAAATGAAGGAGATCCAATTACCTTTTTCTCCTTCACGTCAGTTATCGCACCAGTGTTTCCGTCTATGCCAATCCATGCATTTTCACCATTTGCATGCTACGGAAACAAATTGTAGTTAATATATAAACAAAATGCATCAGAACATATAAGAAATGATCTAGTGATGGTAAAACAGAACAAAGCCATACGGTAAAGATTCAAACCTTTCCTTGCAGTGCCGTCATTGTTCTAATCACATTAACCCCACAATTCTGAGCCAAAGTTCGTGGTATAGCCTCAAAAGCTATAGCAGCAGCTTCATATGGCCACTGTTATACCATCAAAACAAAAATGTAATGTAAAGCCACAGCTAATTCTTAATCTCCTATATGTCAAAAGCATGTGAACTAAAGCAACAAACAGTTCTTAGTCTTAGTGTTCATCTTTCTATTTTCACGAGGAGTTCTCCAGATTCTTGGACCGGTTTTGCCCAGAAAATACCATACTTTTGGATGAGGAGAAGCGAGTTTACCTTTTCGATACCTTCTACAGATGAGCTCTTTTGCTTCAATGTTGCAGATACAGTTAACTCTGTAGCACCACCACCAGGAACAAGTTTTGGATTTTTGAGGATGTTTCTTGCAACTGACATAGCATCCTATAACAAAGTAATTAATAAATAACAAATTTCACATATTATATTTACTTCCATGTAATGGGATAAAAAATAAAACCATCATACCTGCAAGTTTCTTTCCACTTCATTTAAGAGATCCTTACTAGGACCTCTTAAGAGTATAGTACAGGCTTTGGGATCTTTGCAATCAACAATGAATGCAAAATACTCATCACCAATTTTCTTGACCTCAAATAGCCCAGCCCCTGTACCAACATCAGACTCTTGCAATTCATCTGGTCTGTTAACAATAACAGCTCCACAGGCCTTAGCAATTCGGTTATTATCTGTTTTCCGCAACCTCCTGATTGCACTGACGCCAGCCTTGCTCAGGTAATGGCATGCCAAGTCACTAAGCCCCTTCTCTGTGATAACCACATCTGGCTTAAACTTCAATATCTGCACGCAGAGGCTCTCGATGTATTCTTCTTCCAGTTTTAGTAGGACTCCCCAATCTTCTTCTTTAAGTAACTCAGCATTTGTTTGGTTCTCGCCTTTCTTATACTCAAGAGGACAGTCAAGAAGAATGATCCTTGGGTTGACAATCTTTCTTCTCATTTTTCCAGGTGCAATGACATCTTTGTTAAACATTACTCCTCTGAGAACCACTGAATCTTCCAACTGGCCACCAGGAACCTTCTCAACCTTAATGTACTTTTTGATATCCACTTCTCGCAGACCTTGGCCAAGGTCCACCCCGACTATTGTGGTGGCATCAAGTGCTAAATCCTACAACAAGAAAACCCAATATATGGTTAGTTATGAGTGAGTTCACTGTTGTAATTTGTCACTAGAATCAGATCTGAAGAGTGAATACCAATAGTCCAAGTAATTGATTCTTTTGAGTTGATTCTCATTGCAAGGTGGATCATTCAAATGCAAGACATAATATATAACCAATAAAATTGAAAACTATGAAATCAAAGCAGTAACTTTCCACCTAGAGATGCAAAGTCATACACTCATACAGAGTTACCTTGCAGGCATGAGGCCACAGTTTATCTATCAAATACTTGTAACATGAAAGACAAAGTGTTGGAAACATAATAGACAAAATGTAATTTATCTTAATTGTATAATAAAATAAGGAAAAAAACACAAACGTCTGAAGTCAAGAATAGAAGTTAGAAATCCATGGTTAAACCTCACTTTTGATTTAAAGATAATGTTTATCTCTCAGAACTACAAAGCTCTGAAAATAAGTATTGCATGTTTCATGAAAATATTTTCCTTGACAAAATCTTATATCCTTCATCGGCCACTTTACAGACTACATAAACGAAGAACCTTAAGACTTGGAAACCAATAAACAAGAAGAAATAACTGATGCAAAATCTGTATTTATACAAGTACTTACAGCAATTAAATCCCCAAACTGACTAGTGAACTTTGTACCAATACAACTCTTGACCAGCCCCAACATTGTTGCACCTGCCATGTAAAGCATCCATAAGTAACATCCCAAAACTGCTAGCTTCTCATTTCAAATATTCGTTACCCGAGGTAAATTATTATTACAAAGGATATTTAGTCACTGACAGGTTTGCAATCATAACAATGAGTGTTATCATTGGCAAGAACTGGCCACCTGAAATTCTGATGTTCCACACCAATTATGCCGTTTTGATTTCTTAACTCACTCAACATATGAATTTGTAATTCAATCTAAGTGAAAGTAACATAATAGAGATGTAATAAAGGTTACAGCTAAAATTGCTAAACGAAAATTAAGCTATGCCCATTACCCAGTTTTTCCTAAGGAAAATCTGAAGCTGCATGAAACCCATGAATCTGATTGAGCACAAGGAATACTGCCCTGAGTTTATCTCTATGTTCTAGTCTTATGCATGCCATCACATTTTCACAAAAGTTCGATTAGAATGAGTGCTTGGGATCTATAGTCTGGGCACCAAATACAAAAATAATAATTCTATAATGTGATGATGAGTAGAAAGAAACCAAACAAACTTACGATCCTTCACATCAATGTCCATTGCTATTTTGTCAAGAACAGCAATAGCATCCTCCAGAGCTTTGTTGTAGGCTACAACCAAAAAACAGAAATTTAGAAAACATTGAAACAAAACAATTAGGAAAAGAATAAATTGTAAACCAAAATCAAATCCAAAACTGTACATGAAAGAAAAATCAGAAGGAAAAATGTTATCGTAATTTCTTTCAACTTACCTCGGCAAATAACAGTAGGATGATAGCGCTTGTCAATAAATGCTTCTGCAACATGGAGCATCTCACCAGCTACACCAAATTTCATTCCAAATGTAAGACATAGAACAAACTTCAAGTGCACATATAATAATGTTGTAAGTTGTAACATGTCCAGTATATAGAAAAATACACAACCTTCCTCAAGCTTTACTAAATTCCATAATATATATTATTATGCAAGTTAATCCCATTTCTGTTGAATCTACTTATATACCACGCAATGTATAGCACTAAATACATTTGACAAATATAATGGGGCTTTTAGCATTAAGCCCCCAAAGACAACACTTCTTAGCAATAAATACCTACTTTTATTCTACCCATTTTGTTAACTTTTGTTGTTGTATAGCTTTTAAGTCCTCAATATGTTGGAACTTTTAGCAATAAGCCCACATTTTTTTGCCAATTAGTCCTGAATTTAGGCCCTAATATTTAACAATAAGTCCATTAAAGGCTAAGGAATACAAGAATTTGTAAGGGGTTTTCTCTAAAACTTGAAGAATTTAGAGGGGTTTTACTAGTCTCTCCTGTTTATTAATTGAAAGCCAAATTATTTTGCTCCATTAAAAGATTGAATAAGAATATAAGTGAAGTTTCAAATATATACTATATATCCCTTAAATCAACAGTGAATGGCATGTACGTAAAAAATGCTCAAAGCATACCAAGGACAATGACAGATGTTGTTCCATCGCCTACTTCTTCATCTTGTGTGCGACTTAATTCAATCATTGACTATCACCAAAATTTTCAAAAGAACAAAGGTAAGAATAACAAATAAAATGAGAGCGAGGTGGGGAGGTCATAAAAATGCAAAGGATTTACAAGAAAGAAGATGGGGGATCAGAAGCTGATATCAAAGATAAAGAAAATTTTGAATCGAAAAGATATAAAAAATAAAATCCAGAAAGGAACAACTTGAGACAAATATCATGCCTTTGCTGCAGGGTGAGCAAGATCCAATTCACGCAGAATGGCATTTCCGTCGTTAGTCACTACAATTCCTGTAAGAAACATGGGTAACAACTATGTTAGCGTATTGCAAACTCACCAAGACCCAAAAGAAAGCCATGTGCTACGATGCATGGACACAGGCATGGGGATACGACACGACACAAAGATACGTCAAATTAACAAGAAGAATTGTTGTATGACCACAAGGGAATACGACACGACACGACACAACACGGGGATACGAGGGGATACCACCATGTCCATCGTAGGCCATGGGGATAATAAAAGCATGAAAGAGTTCATGACCAGTGACATCAATCTAAAATTTACTTAATTGCAAATAGAACAGTAAAAAACTTCTTTGATTCAAAATAATTCAATCACAGAAATAAATATGCGGTCACCTACAATAAGGGCTTACTTAGGTTGTAAAAACTGAGGGAAAATAAAGCATTACATTCTATTTCAACAAAAATACAGATAAAACAACAAAACTTATCAGACTGCAGCGAAAAGGATTACCTCCACTAGCGTCAAGTAGCATCTTGAGCATGGACCGAGGGCCCAAGGTTGTCCGGATTATGTCAGCAACAGCCTGTAATTATCAAAATGCTTCAAATTTGTGTGTTCATGAGACCCTAAGTGTTAATAGTCTGACAAAGTATACACAGAGGAATCATAAAAATATTCTCTTGAAAAAAAAAATCATTGAAAACTAGGACCCTAGATGCTTAAGAGTACTTTTATAAGAAAATACTAAACATTTTCACAGTTAGAAGGTTAATACTCATGTCAACTCATTCAGAAATTAATACGTTCAATACAAATACTAAAACATACATTTTCGGATGAATCTCAATTCAATTCAGTTTCCGCCGAACTTGTTTAAAACCCGAAATTACAACAGAATGTTTTTCAGTAAGTCATTCACCAAATGCTGAGCTAGACAGAACCAAAAAAAAAAACTCTTTTTAAAGACTCTGTCCAATTTATGTACTTCATCCCCATACGAAAGCAAAACCCATAAAAAAATTAGCTGATTATACAGTAAATTTATCTCCAAGACTTCAAAATAAAAACATTATTTTCCCTTTACGAACCAAACCGTTTAGGGTTTTACATTTCAATCCAAAATAAAATGTTTAGATTCGTAAACCCGAATGCCCGTAATCTTACCTTCGATGCCTGGATATTTCCATGGTGTACTTTACTCCCTGACTCACGCTTCAACGAATCTTCTGCTCAGATCAGTTCAAACAAGCAAAATCAGCAAAAACAAGCAATTGGGTTTTCACAGGAACACAAATCTCATCCAAAAAATGGCAGAAAACAACACAAAATTCGAGCTTTGCAGATACCCAAATGAAAGACCAACTCAAAACCTAAACTTTGAAGTAACTGCAAGTTAAGGGAGCGAAAAAAAGAAGGGAAGGGAGCTTACTGAGGACGAGCACTGGGGCTTGCATGGTGATGGCGAGATCTGTGTGAAACTGTTGAGTGCGAGGAGGCAGAAGGAAGAAGGAAGAAGAAGGGAGAAGAAGAGTAGAGAAGTCTGGAGAGGTTTATATGCGAGGGAAACGCCGATACCGGGATTTTATTGAAACCCTGCTCGTGCGAAATAGGTCTGCAAAAATGGGTCGGGGCGACCCTGGTCCAATAGGACTAAAGCTCAATTGGGCTTTGGAAGTCTTTTCGAGTTGGGCTGGGCGAGATTGGCCCGAAATGTTATACAAAACTTTGTGCACCCATTTTTTTTTTCTTTGGACACTCATAATTAAATTTACATATTCTCCGGACCCCAGTGTAAAATTTATAATATTTCTAAATCATCCCAACTTAAAAATTGGCAAAAGCATCTCAACCGTGAATCTCACTCAACCCGCTCCCAAACTCTGTCTTTCTTCTTCTTTCGCCTCTCCTCACTCTTCTCCAAAACAGCAAACTGAGTTCGCACCCAAATTGCACAAAGCATTGGAGAAACAAAGCACCACCCCAGGTGGCATGAAAAATGGTTGTTGCAAACACGCCGATTTGAAGGTGGGAGGAGCGCCGGTAACCATTAGTTCGGTGAGTAGTTAAAAAAACCACTCTTTAGAGCATCCCTATCACTGCTAGCTAAATTGTTGCTATTTTAGCTGGCCAAATGGCCAAAAGCTATTATTGCTAACCAATTTACAGAAGCATTTCCAACACTGCTAACCTATTTTAACAAAAACCACAATATTTTATTATAGATAATGCTAGGGAGATCAAAATTTTAAACCAAGTTTGCAAATTAAATGATCTATTACCAATAGGAAATAAGTACGTTAACCAACACTTAAGTAATAATCCAACCATCCTCAACCACATCATTTGGTTTGTAAATTTGGTTTAAAAATTTTGGTCTCTTTAGCATTATCCTTTTTATTATTTAACAACTCAACCCTTTATTTCACTATTAATATTTTGACAAAAATACATCCTAACCTAGGGGTGTATTCAATTAGAATTTTGAGAGAATTTAAAGGATTTGTACATCCATGAATTGTTATGGAGTTTAATTGATTTATAGAGATTTAATATAAAATTTTGATTTAACTCCCTTAAAATTTCATGGAGAGATGTGAGATTTATGGATGCTTAAAAAACATTATGAAATCTCTCAAATTCCTTTGAATTCCTTAACTTTTTAAAATTTTTAAAATCAATTTCTAATTAAATACTCCTTGAACGTTATAAATTTATTTAAAATCCTAATTAAATACTCGCAAAATTCTAAGGATTTTATTTAATGAACTATGTGAAAATCAGGATTGAATACACTTTTAATTTCATAGAATTATTTAAAATCCTAATTAAATATCCTAAATTTATTAAAAGAATTAAAATCCTTCAAAATCTCAATCCAATATACCATTTGTTTTCCAGTCCTTCTCTCTTCCTTGTCTCTCTTCGTTTCTCTTTGGTTATTCGGTCCATTTCTCCCTTCCCTTCTCTCTCTTCATTTTTTCCGTCCCTTTCTCCCTTCTTTCTCTTGTGCCTGCTGCTGGTTTGCAAGGGAAGAAGTCACTAGCAATTGTATCAGGATTTCTCGAAACTTCGCAGAACATCTCTAGCTTCGACCTCGACCTCCGCTTCCACCGTTTTCTTCATCTATCCAATCGATTAAGACTCTCTCCCTCGTCGTTTGTCACTCAATCTCCGCCGACTTGAGATCTCATTGGTCATTCGGAACTCCGTCCTCCTAGATCTTATCGATCCGTTTTTATCGTCACAGCTATCAGTGGCGATTCCCCGTCGTCTCTGCCCTTTTTCACCTCTTTTTTTTGTCGCTGATCCAATCTACCAGCTCTGTCGCAAGTCCGATCCACCACAACCGTTGCAATTCAATCCACCACTAGGTCCACTACCATCTCAGTTGCTTGCTGTTGAAGAGAGATGGAGCGTACAATACAAATATTGTATTTTAAGTTTAGTTAGCTAGTTAATTCTCTTTCATGCTCGCCACAATAGCTAGGAACTGTTCATCAAGCCACAATAGCTAGCTTGATAGCTAGCCTGTTGGACTTCCACTCTTCTCTCGTGGCTAGGTAAAATAGAAAAATTCCTGATTTAGCTAGCTGTTGAAGATGCTCTTGTAGAAAAAGTTGCTCATGTCATGTGGCTAAAAGGCAGATGTGCCTTTTTATATGTCACAGTTACTATTTTGAAAGAATGCTGATGTGGTTAGGATGAGAAAGTTATATCTTATAGGATTCATTTGATGATAAAATTTGTGACCAACAATATTGATAATTTATCTCGAATTACTACGGAAAAGTGGTATTCCTCTTCAATTTTAAGTTTTGATTGTCGTCGATGGCTATACGAATTTATAGCGCTCATTGTGTGGTTTAATCAGACCTCATATCATTTAATGTAAATATATTGTTGTATTAAAAAAATATTAATTTTTTAACTATGCACCACTTCGATTCCTCTCTCACCTAACAACTAATTTTTTAACTCATTAACGTTATTGCACTCAATGTTTAAAATATCGATATCGGTGGAAATATCGATAGACAAATTAGTGGAAATATCGATAGACATCGTATATCGATATCGATTGCCTTCAATGAAAATGATGGAAATTTGCTCAAAAAAATGAAAATTTAAAATTATTTTTTAGGAATGTCATATGAAGCTACAACACACATATGAATTAAGAATTAATGATTAGGTACAGTGTTAACAATAAGTATGTGATATGTGAGAAGCAAAACTTCCTTGTAATGACAAGTAATAAAATAAAGCATTTTACTAGAAAGAATAAATTATACATAACTTAATTAAAATTTCCATCATGAAAGTAGCACAAGTTTTATTGAAGTAAACTAATACCATAAAAACAGAAATTAAAAAATAAAGAATGCATTGGCTCATGGATATTTCCTACAAACGTTTTGCAAATTGTCTGCTAACACCAGATATTTCCTAAAAATATCGAGGAAGTTAACTGATTTCCTGAAATATTGTGGATATGGGGTGAAGTTTCGACTTCACCCCCTCTTTCTATATCGTTCTCTGAATTTTTGGATATTTCCGTAGAAATGTCGAGCATATCCAAGGTGTTTCAAGATTGTTTGAAAAATTGGAAGAATAAATAGGTACATAGTATATGTTTGTAGATAGGTTTGAAATATTAGCAGAGTCATGAAAGGAAAACGCGTTCTTTCCTCTTTTGATGGATAGACGAGGCATGGATATGCCTATGGGTTGTACAAAGAAAACTAAAAAGGAAAGAAATTAATGTTTTTTAATGGACATGTGCGAGAAGTGCTATTTTTGAGATCCCTATTTCTTAAGTTTGTTCTCCGGTATGAGACTTTTTCCGGACTGCACTTTTACATAGGTGAGGATCACTTAAAGAAAGAAAAGAAACGTTTAGATTCAGCAATCTTTGAAAGCAGTTTCATGTGATCATTTGAAAATTAAGTCACCCTACCATATATGATCATTTGAAAATTATATTGGTTTTTGCAGTTTTCACTTATATATATACATCATGTACGTCTTGAAACACTGCTAAGTTCATAACTGAATTATTATTTATCAGACGGAAAACTCTCAAAAGCAATCGGAGCGCTCAACATGAAATTTGAAGCGTTAATCGGCCTTGTATTAGTCTTCCTCTCAGGCAAGAATTTCACGAAATATATATCGTCATTTCATCCATTACAATATCACGAAGTTTGTTCTTCCAATATCTGTTTTTGTTTTCTATTGATTTTCTGGATATCTAACAAGACATCCGATGCATGGTTTCCATCATTATTGCAATATGAATGCAACAAAACATTGATATTAAATAATACGTCATGAACCACGCTCATCAAATTTGTTCATCAAATGATATGACAATATGTCTTTAATTTATTAAAATAGAAGTCTTATTTGATGAAAAAAGTATGATGATTAATTATTTGGTGAACAAAAAATAATAATTTGATGAGTGTGGCACTTTAGTGATGATCTTATACTCTGTGTGTCAGAACATGCAGGGGTTTACTCGGCCAAGTTCACATTCACAAACAAATGTCCCAACACAGTTTGGCCAGGAACCCTAACCGGAGGCGGTGGCCCACAATTACTTTCCACGGGATTTGAGTTAGCCTCCGGTGCTTCAACATCACTGACTGTCCAAGCTCCGTGGTCCGGCCGCTTCTGGGGCCGCTCTCACTGCTCGATAGACTCCTCCGGAAAGTTCAAATGCTCAACAGGAGATTGTGGCTCTGGCCAAATATCCTGCAATGGTGCCGGTGCAAGTCCACCAGCATCCCTAGTGGAGTTAACCCTAGCAACCAACGGAGGACAAGATTTCTACGATGTTAGCCTTGTTGACGGCTTCAACTTGCCCATTAAGTTAGCCCCCAGAGGCGGCTCCGGTGATTGCAACTCCACAAGCTGCGCGGCCAATATAAACACTGTTTGTCCTGCCGAGTTGTCTGACAAAGGATCAGATGGGAGTGTGATTGGCTGCAAAAGTGCATGTTTGGCTTTAAATCAGCCCCAATATTGTTGCACTGGCGCTTATGGAACCCCTGATACATGCCCTCCTACTGACTTTTCAAAGGTCTTCAAGAAGCAGTGTCCCCAGGCTTATAGTTATGCTTATGATGACAAATCTAGTACTTTCACATGCTTTGGTGGCCCTAACTATGAAATTACCTTCTGCCCTTGATTAGGGTTTTTACATCTATTGGGATTTATCAATATTTTGTCATGACTCCATATATAGAATAAGTGGACAATATGAAATTAGCATGATCAATGTGAATTAATGGTATAAATTTTTATTTAATATTGATCAAGTTCATTTACATCATACATCTTTTTTTACGTCTTGCCACTAACGTTTGGGCTGAGCCAAGAGCATTTTTTTTTTTTTTTATCTAAATTTGAATTTTATTTATTTTAAATAAATTAATGCAGAATATCGCTTATAAAACATCTTAACTACTTATAGATCATAGTGGTCATCATACGATCTGAGTCAAGTAGGCCATCTATCAAAGTCGGGCCAGGTGACCACACAAGACGAAAAGCACGGTTCGTGGTCTCTCCATTGCCAATGCCACTCATCATGTTCATCCCCATCCATCATACCTTGTTTATTTCTTTGCCTTGTATTTCCTTGTTCTTCCTTAATTTTGACTATATTTTGTACTTTATGTGCTACCCTTAATAGTTTCATTATCTTCTATAAATATGGATATTTATTCCATCACTAAGATTCATCTAGTTAAACTAACTAGAACCCCGAATTGAAATATTTCAATATTGAAATAATAATTAATAATATTATTGAATTCGCAGAACGACGTCAATATCTCTTTTAGTCTTTTTGAGTTTTTGCCCATGGAGTTTTTGTGAATCTGTACAACTTTTGTTCTTTTTTAACATTTTATTTCTTTTTTTTGAACCATTCTCATTCAATAATCAATTCAAAATTACAGACGAAATGGAAGGACTTCCATTGGAATCCCCATCTAATTCTACAAAATACCACTTTTTTTATTTTTTTTGGATCTTCCAAATCATTCCTGCAGGAGATCTAGACCTTTTTTTTTTTTTTTTTTTTCTGATCCCTCGATAAAAAGATTCATTCTCTTCATAAAAAAATAGTATTTAGAACCAATAAAGATTTCTTTTTCGATTCATCCCTGGAGTTGAATACCTCATTCAAGAATTGTTTTTGATCCAATCCAATAGAAAATGGCAAATTCCTTATGATACACCACGTACGGCTTAGTTATTGATAGAGTGAATAGATCTGCCATTTCTTGACATCTCTCTTCCTGATTCAAAATCATGGTGTAACGTGTATCCCCCTTGTTCCGGTCATGGAATAGATGAAATAAATAAAAAAATGAATTTTTGTTCAAGAATTAAATCTTATTGGAACTATCCATATCCAATTCATCCTTCAGAACCATATCACATCTGAATTTGATGAAATAGGATGAATTGAAATGGTATTTTGTAAATACGTATTGGATCAATTCCTCTAGCAGCATGAGTCTTACTTTCTTTTTCTGTCGAAAGCTTTCCACGTAGGTATGAAATAACCGTTTGTCAAGATGACTTCTCTTACAATGTTTCTTAGCATCCGAGCTAATTGGTTTTTTCATCATCCATTGATAGCCACATAAATGACTAGAATATATTTTTTCTATTGGAATGTCTCGAAGTTGTAATCTTCCTATTTAGGTTGTCACCGTCTCCGCTAGGTGTTTATGGAATTATTGGGGGGCTCTCCCTACTTGGATGCTTTTACTAATTGCCTTAGCATCTAAGCGTGGTATATTAAATAGAATAGTAAATAGGCCTTCCAAACTCACTAGCTCGAATCGGTAGATCTTGGTGCCTGCATAGCAAAGGTACAACTGATGAGAAAACTTATTGGAATCTACTAGTTGGCGAGTAATCTTTATTCAAGTACCGTTAAGTAAGTATTAATGATAGTTCCATATCTTCTATAAATATGGATATTTATCCTACAAATTTATTCACTGAATGAGAAAGACAATGTTCATGTTAAAGAATTGAAACTCCATGACAGTTATTTCTACACTTCTAACTAACATTTCCCTTTACTTTATTCCATCAATTTCTTATGGGGCTAGAAAATAAGTTGGATATCACCAGAAGCTAGTGATGTATCCACCGTTTTACTTAAAACACAAAATTAAAAACCATGGAGAGGATTGTTTGCCAAACTCAGTAAGTGACCCTTGGATTCAGAAAAGCATATGCTAGTAGCTCCGGATTGCTTTCAAATAATGCCATGCTTTCTTCGCTTAGGGTCAACCATGTTTCAATCCCATTGCAATCTCTTTTGTCCATGAAACCAAATAAATTCTTAACTGAACAACCAGCAAAACTCACCTATGATGGCTTTCCTCAATCCGAAATCCGATTCATAGAAAGGAAACCTACACCAACTTGTGCAACTATAAGTTTCAATCTCCTGATCTTTCATCAGGTTTGTGCAAGTACTCGGTCAACACTTACATTGCCTTATTAGGATCAACTAATTTTGTAGCACATTCTTTCATTTCTTCAATCTTGGCTCGATGATAGGAGCATATTTATGCTACTTAGCTATGTTGTTTCCTTGCATTTAATGAGCTAATTACTACTTATTATAGTGTTTTAAGCTATTTTCGTGTGTTTGTAAGTCCTAATGGTAAAGTTGGCAAGAAAGTGCATTTTGGAGCCATTTGGAGCAGTTTTGGGCATAGAATGGATAACTTGCATATGGAGCAAGCTGGATGGATGAAATTGAAGTTAAGAGAGGCTAAGAACATGCTACAAATATGGAGAAACAAGTTCAAAGACAAAGAAGATAAGGAAAGAGCAAGAAATAAGGAACATTATCCAACCTTATCCTATCCAATCTTATCTTATCCAACCTTATCTTATCTTATTCTATCATAAGCTTTTGCTACCTTAATTCCAGCTGCAAAGAGGACTTAATTTCACATTAAAACACCTAGATATATGGTTCTAGAAGACCCTATATGTTCCTAAATAGGTGCTGCACCCCTTATTCCCTTCTAGAAGTCCAATTTCTGCCACAAAATACCTAGTTTCTAGAAGTCCTAATTTTTGGCGAATTTCCCTATCCCTTTCCCCCTTGGTTTTTGAAAGCATTAACCCTTTCCTCCAAGGATTGTGCAATCCTTTTCCCTTCAGAAATTGTGCATTCCCTAGTCCTATAAATATAAGTGTTTGCCGCACCATTCAAACCATCCATTCACTCATTCATTCATTCATACATTCAGCCATCAAACACCATAATTCACACCACATCACCCTAGTGCTGCAAGCAAGTAATGAAGGAGAAGAGGACTTGTGCAATCTGCCATCCAAGGGAGTGTCGTGCATGCCATTGGAGTGGGACGTTCTTGGTTTTTTCTATCCTTAGTTTTAGTTTGATGTTTATTTTAATTTGGTTTTCAATTATGATGAACATGTAGAACTAATTTCTTTTTAGTTAGAGGTGAATTCGAAGCCATGATTATATGTTTTATATGAATTGATTACATCTAGTTATTGTTTCTTGAGTCTTGAATGTGATTTGCTTATATAAGTAATCAAAACTTGTTTATGTATGTTGGTTGAGGGTCGACACTTAATTTGCATGCATAAATTTAATGCTAGAGTATAAGGGTGTTTCACGTAATAGTTATTCACTTATATTCACAAGTAGTGTAGGTTGCTAGTCAAAATCGTGTTAAGTGAATCCTTGGCATGAGTCTCATGCATTTCATAGTGATGAATGCCTTGTCAATGCTTATGATTTTCATAAAACTTAATGGCTTTTGATATGTATCTTTATTATGCGTTTTATATACAGGACTTGAGAAAGATAATTTGGTTGTAATACATATCCATTCAATCCAATGAAATAAGGAAAATCTGAGGGTTGGTTGTGCGATGCAATTAACTTGGGGTGTTGTCATTCATAGTCTAAAAGAATAATAATTGGAAATTGTTTTGTATGCATATATCATGTGTGGAGAATGACCCTCTAACTAAATCTAGTCCCCTGACCAAACGACATGTTGTTTGGGTCGTCTCCCACCTCCAGGATACGAGCCTCCTTGGTTACTCATAATGCCACCGACGACAGTACACTGTCATGGTTGGCTTGTAACATGTCTCTCATGTTAGTGTACATCTCCCTAAGATGGTGTGGGTGCTAGGATCTTGAGGTTTCGTTGACTCCATAGCTGTTCTAGAAGCTAGACGAGTCATACACGAGAAGGGATCGAGGAGAATCAAAGGACTGGCTATTAAAAAATACAATTTTTACAATGGCTCTTTTTCTTTGCAAGAATTACTATTTATAGTAGCAGATAACAACTTAGCTACTAAGACTCCAAAATAAGCCATCCAGAGAAAATTCAAATGACAAATTCTCTACCGTGGGCCCTTGTCTTTGGCTTTGGGATCAGCATCAATCTTCTTGAAAACCATTCTTTGTTTCTTCCCTCTCACTTTCCGTTTGCTTTATTTGGAGTTGAATTGGCGTCGTGGAGCTCTGTAGTCATTGTGGTAGTCGTCGTCTTCAGGCCCACAAACACAAAGTTAACACAAGGTTTTGGATCTAATTATCACATTCGATATAGGATTGAAGCAAGAAGCCATGGAAGATGTCGAGTTGTGTCGGGATCGTGTTTAGTCAATGCGACACTTCGGGTTTAGCCGGTTGCAATAATATGACATGCAGATGTTCAGAAGATGTGGAGCGGCTACATGTTTTTATCCTTTTATTTTGTTTATGTTTAATAATTTCCTAAAGTTGTCCTGGAATTTGGTTTGATTTCTCTCCGTATGAGAGGTTGCTAGTTTGATTGCTCTGTTTAGAAGAGTGCATGATTTTAATATTCGTTCTGGTTTGCTTGCCTATTTGGATCTATGTGTGAAGGGTGGAGCTATTTGATTCACTGATCTACTTCATTTGGTCTTCTGGGATCGTGGTGGTGATTAGGTGATGTGATCGACTCATAGGCATCGTACTCCCTATCCCAATTTATTGTTTGAGATTTTGTCCTCATATGATCTCCCTATAACATGAAGTGTAACAATTTTATTGATCTTTGTGTAATCGTGCCATTCCTGATGAGCTCGTCAGACAAGTGCTTGAAGTCTACTCCTTACTTTGCGATTAGTGATGCTTTATTGCAATATTTTTAGATCTAGTTTGCAAGGACCATTTTGGGGCCAAGTTTTTTAATCTTTTATTTGTACGCTAATTTATTTATAATGTACACATTCTTCTTTATTAACGTACCA